AGGTGGTAAGGAAACTTTAAAAAAAAAAAAGGAATAGGGGGCGTTGGGGAGGGGGGGTTGTAGGGGGACGGGGTATGGTAGTGTGATAAAAAATACTTTAAAAAAGAATTAATATTTTTTATAAAAAATAAAACTATTTTTTTTTTCATTTTTGTGGGATGGGGGGCAGGGGGCTGGTAGGGGTGATAAAAACCACTTTAAAAATATTTTGTTTTCAAAGTTTTTAACAAGATACCTACTATAATATGTGTCACACCACTTTCCTTTTTAACAATTGTTAAGGATATGACGGTTTTTAAAAAAAAATGATTTTTTTTTAGTCGCCACTTGAAATTGGGTTTTTTAGGTGTGTCAAGTCACCTGGTAATTCCTAATTTAAAAGAGAAAAAAATTTATTTTTAGTCTAGGAAAATAGAGATTGAGTAAGGAATTCTATTGACCGGAGGGAAGGTGTGAGGCACCCCCCGAGTCCTGTGGTTCTAGCACGATCGTTTTATTAACTCATGTTTGGCTAAAATAATTTTTGGATAAAAAAAAGTAAATTTGTGTTAGTTACTAAATTTTATTTTTTTTAATAAAAAAATGATTGGCGTAGGAGCGTAACCGCATACAAGACCACTTTTTTAGAAAAAATACACACCAAAGATCGTAACCGAACACATGGTGGTATTTATATATATATATATATTAAAAGACTGATAATTAATGACTCAAAATTTATTTAATAATGAGAAAAAAAATGAACTTGTTGCAACATATAGACATGAAAAATATATTTTTTTTGCAAATTGCTAATTAAGGAATTGACGATTTTTTTTTTAAAAAAAATCAAATAAATATTAAGTATCACTATTTGATGATAACAACAAAAAGCAAACAAAGTATATACTTTTTAAAAAATAAAAAATAATGACTAAGCCCCTTTTAAAGCAAGTAGTGATATAATTTTTTATTTTTTTAAAATAATTTCAGAAAATGATCACTTTAGTAAAAATTTTAGTTTTACACAAAATGGTCATATTCTCTTTTGAAAGAAAATTACAAAAATAGCCAATTTTATCTAATAGTTAAATTACTAACCAAAAGTAGCCGATTTTATATTTTTGTTTCAATAACCATTTCATATATTTATTTAAGAGAGAGAAAAATAGAATTTATGAAATGATCAAATTTACATTTTTTGCAAAAGTGACCATATTTACATTTATTTTTTTTTTGCAAAAACAGCCTCTCTTTTTTTCTTTTCTTAAAATGACCAGAAAACTAAAAAAAAAAAAAAGACTTTGAGATTGTTTTTTTTTTTTTAGCAAAAGCATGGGTTATGTATCAACTTCATAATGATAAATATAGAATTAACACCTAATTTAATAATAGAACACAAATATATAATAACAACAAAACATAATTTAACTAATTATAATAAAGTTATGTATCAACTTCATAATGATAAAGATAGAATTAACACCTAGTTTAATAATAGAACACAAATATATGATAACACCAAAGCATAATCATATTAAGTATCATAACATGTTTAACTAATTCAAATAAACTAAACATAATAATTTAACCAAAAATATAAACATGTCTCATTATTTTTTGAAGTTATATTGTAAAATGTAGAAAAAAGGAATATACCTAAAGAGATGATGCCAAAACATTGATGAAAGCAAAGTTTAATTAAACTCCCAAAGACCACAAATGATGAAATATATTTTTAGAAGATGACTTTTTTTTTCCCTCTATTCTTATGATTTTCTCTCTTCTAATTTTCTGTTTTTTTCTTTTTTTTTTTGTTCCTCTTTGAAATGAAAGAAGAATGGGTTTAAATAGGTGGTGAATATTAACACCCATTCTTCTTGAAAACTTAAGAGTCAATGCATGCATTAGACTCCTTGTCTTCCCAAGGTGCCACCCAAGATGGCCAATAGAATTTTCTCTTTTTCTTTTTTTTTCTTTTTCTTTTGCCAAGATAATAATTAATTAAAAAGCATTTTAGATAACCCATTTCTTTTATTCATTAATTGAATAATAACTTAATGGGTCATCTGAAAATTAAAATAGGCCCAAAATACCCTTTTAGATGACCCATTTCTTTTATTCATTAATTGAATAATAGCTAAATGGGTCATCTGAAAATTTAAAATAGGTCCAAAATGTAGACCCATTTGATCAAGACCCAAAATCAAAAGAAAATCAGTCCACCAACACAAAATCTAAACATCTAAACTATTTTGAAGATTAAACACAACAAATAAGGCAGAAAAAAAATGAAAATAAAAACGAAATTAAAAAAAAAAAAAACAACAACTTCAACATGATAAAACTTGAAGAACGCTCACAAAACAATACAAATCCGGCACCAAAACGACTTATATGATTTTTAAATATGTGATAATTACGGATTTGGATGGAGGATGAGAGGGGGAAATGATTGACATAAATTTTCGGATGAATGGAGGTCGCTGGAAACTCCGCCGGAAAATTTGTGGACAAATTTTGGACATAAACTTTACATCAAAGGATAGCCCTTGAAGAGCTCTACACCTTTATGTAAACGATATAGGACGGGGATGACCGAAACTTTGTAAATCTAAAGAAAAAGGAGAAGATTTATGTTTGGTTTTTTCTTAGATCTACGGAGTTTGGCAATGGATATGAACGAATGGTTTGCGAATTTGTGTAGAGGAGGGTGAAAGAAAGAAATTGTAAAATTTTGGAGATTTTTCCGGCCAACGGGTGGTGGCCGCCGCCGGCAGGTGGAAGCAAAGGGGAGAAGAAAAATAAAAATGCAAATAAAAAATTTGATTTTGGAGTTTTGTATTTTTTGGTAGGGTCCATAAGAGCCCTTGGATCAAAATATCATGGATGATTGAGATTTAATCTTGACCATTTCTATTGGACAGGGTCAAAATTGATTGGGCCATCAGAATTTGGTCTAAATCAACCCAATTCAATAAAAAATTGGGTCATTTAGGCCAATTAAAATAAATTAATATAAACAAAGACAAACAACCCAAAATACACAACAAAAATATAAGAAAAGACCTTACTATATATTGTAGGAGTAAAATAAACACGTCAAAAATTAGGTGTTCACAATATGAGTATCCATATTATCCATTGGATAACTCATTTTTACCCATTTAAAAATGAGTCGAGTCGAGTACTTTATTCATTTTTGTTTAACACGTTTTCGATCAACTCAACTCGCTCGTTTGTCACTCCTGCATCACTACAACAAAAACAACTTTTAGCGGTAGTAAATAGACAAATTAATAAAGAATATTAAAGTCTTTACTAACATTAGTTAAGTGTCATTAGATCCAATGTCGCTAAAGGCTTCATGAACATACACAAAGAGTGTTAATTGCCGCTAAAACTACATATTTAGCGGCAATTGAGCTATTGTCGTTAACAAATTGCCGCTAAAGATCATTTTTTATGTAGTGGATGTTATTATCCTTTGTAATTAAGTTTTGAATTATGACATTTTAGTCACATTAGTGTTTCACACTATTCTTTTAGTACGACTTCCGCTTTCTCAAAATATTTGTCATTTTGGAAGTCTAAGACGAACTTAATTATTTTCTGATCAATTTTTAGTGTACTAATGATTGTGCAATTTGACTCAGGTGCATATTTATGGATTCAGGGGATGGCTTTATTTCAAGATGGTTGGGTCGAAATTGTAAGCGTCCCATTACCAAATTGGGATACACAACTTGTGAATGTGGGTGTGAAACATGGGTGGACGATGGGACTCACGAGAAATGGCCTTTCGTTGTGGATATCCCATTGGGGAGTCCTCCACTTACTGTTGAGGGTGAAAACAACAAAGGTCTGATCCTTCGAAGTGATGACAAAAAGTTTGAAGAGGACTGTGAAGTTGTTGAGAATATTGGAGAAGTTGGAAGGAAAAGAAGAATGGTGGAGCCTTCTAGAGGTGACAAGAGGAGGAAGTTCATTCCAGGAACTTGTGAGGAAATATCTGATAGTTCGGAGGAGGAGAGTGATCCTGATGTAGTTATTGTACCTCAGATTGTTGTTGAGGGTGAAAACCACAACAACGATCGAACATATCTTCTTCGGCCACGCTCTATGGACAAGTTTAAGAATAAGAATGATGAGAAGTCTGATGAGGAGGAATCTGATGATGAGGAGTTGGATTAGGAGGGATCTGATTACGAGGAGTATAAATCCTCTTATAAAGAGGACTGCGATGATCATAATAAACTCACTCTTCCTGAATAGAAGGAACATGTTTCTGTCAAAGAAACACTTCCTTTAATATTCCAGTTTGAAGACGAGGAACCTCCTCCCCAGAGAAAGAAGAATGGGAAAAGGAAATTGAAAATCTTTTTTCTGCAATGGCATGTGTATGTTGGAAGAACTAATTGACTTAACAAATTCACTTATTTCGCCAATGCAGAGTGAAAAAGTAAGTGAGTGTCAGATGGGGAACCATAAGCTTAAACTAGATGAATAAATTGGACTTATTTGTTCAGTTTGTTCATATGTCCATTTGGAGATGACATACATCTTCCCTGATTTTGTAAGTATACGAGTTTTGTTTTGTCAAGCACTTCTTTTTTAAAAAAAATTTGCTACACATTCTACTAAATCTAAATTTGTGGTAGTTTTTTCTATAGCTTTGCCATGCCAATTTAACAGACATACTCTTCAGTAGTTTTTTCTATAGTTTTTCTAGATGAACTATGTATTTCATATTTTAAAGATAAGTGCTGACAGAACCAAACTCGTATACTTACAAAATCAGGGAAGATGTATTTCATCTCCAAATGGACATATGAATAAACTGAACAGATGAGTCCAATTTGTTAATCTAGCTTAAGCTTATGGCTCCCCATCTGACACTCACTTAGTTGTCCACTCTGCATCGGCGAAACTGATGGATTCGTAAATCCAATATGTGATTCCAAGAGACACATGTTCATTTCAGAAAAAAGATCTTCAATTTCCTTTTCCCATTCTTGTTTCTATAGAGGAAGAGGCTCCTCGTCTTCAAATAGAAATACTAAAGGAAATGTTTCTTTGACAAAAACATGTTCCTTCTCTTCTAGAGGAATGACTTCATTACGATCATGGACATTTTTTATTGAATCAACAATAAACTTCAGAAACTCAGCCTCTTCAAGAATCTTCTTCGGATTCTTTCGAAGAGCATTAGTTAAAGATTCAAATTCCGACTTAGAATATAAGGTTGTATCAGTAAACTCTTTGGATTTGTCCCTTGTCTTGCACATGTTTGACTTAGAAGAAACAACCTCATCTGTTGCATTCAAGATAGGAGCCGCCTTCTCCTCAATGATAACAACATCATGAACACTCTCCTCCTCATCTTCTGCAACGTTAACAACATCAGGTTCAGTCTCCACCTCCTCATCCTCTTCTTCTGTAACGATAACAACATCAGGATCACTCTCCTCCTTATTCTCATCCTCATCCTCCTCCGCAACGTTAACGACATCAGGATCACTCTCCACCTCCTCTTCATCCTCCTCCGTAACGATAACAACATCAAGATCACTCTCATCTACCTCATCATCCTCATCCTCCGCAACGTTAACAACATCAGGTTCAGTCTCCACCTCCTCCTCCTCCGCAACATTAACAACATCATGATCACTCTCCACCTCCTCCTCCGCAACATCAACAACATCAGGATCACTCTCCACCTCCTCATCTTCCTCCTCCATAACAGCATCAGGATCACTCTCATCCTCTTCTTCCTCCTCCTCATCAATAATAACAATATCAGGATCAGTCTCCTCCTCCTCATCCTCATCCTCCTCCAACTACTCATCCTCCTCTGCAACGTTAACAACATCAGGTTCAGTCTCCACATCCTCCTCCTCTGTAACGTTCACAACATCAGGTTCAGTCTCCACCTCATCCGCAACGATAACAATATCAGGATCACTGTCCTCCTCCTCCTCAACAATAACAGTATCAGGATCAGTCTCCTCCTCTGACGAATCATTATCAGCACATACTTCCTAGACGAAAGTCTGATTTGTGAAGGACTCAGAAGTTCCTCGAGTGAACTTCCTCCTCCTATTGTTTTCCACATTTCTTTCGTCACCTCCAGAAGTCTCCATTTTTTTTCTTTTCCTTCCATTAGTAGAATTTCCACTTTGACTCAACTCGTCCTCTTTTCAATTATCTCGACCATACATTTTAAAGATTGTTGTCTAGTCCTCCTCTTTGCAACAAAGCCATCCCCTGAATCCATCTTTCACACCTAAGACAAAATACACAATTTTCGTTAAAAATCAAAATTCATAAGCATATATGTATCTGAAAAAATTCTTCACAATAACAACAAGACTGAACTGCATTTACAAATACTAACTTGAATTAAAAAAAGCCCTTTTTTCTGCCTGAAAATCAAGAATGGATAACTTTGAATTCTTCCAAACTGTAAAAAACAGAGTGATGGGGAAAGGCCCTTTTTCTACCGGAAAATCAAGAATGGATAGCTTTAAATTCTCGAAACGGTATAAACGGAGTAATCGAGAGTGTGATGAGTTTGAATAAACTGAATGCATAAAAACATAAATATATATATATATATATATATATAGAGAGAGAGAGAGAGAGAGAGAAAGAGAGAGAGCGAGAGAGAGTAACAACATAAGAAAAACATGACTTAGACAAGCCTCTTATGTGTGAGAGAAAAAACTTATGTAAAGTGCGTGCATTTTGTGATAGATTAGAATATTCCAACGAATCAGGATGATTTAAAGTGTGAACATTAACTCTTCCAACTGAGTCACATGAATTGTCAAAATTTGCTGCAAGGGTATTTTTGGAAAAAATAAGAAAATATTTGTTTATTCTATTTAATTAGTGTACAACTTTTTCAAAATTGTGGGATCCAGTTTAGCTATACCGTTTAGTTTTAATTCATATATTTTTGTTATATAGCTTTATTACTTTTGAATATCGTTGTTATTTGTGTAAATTTTATAATTACTTTGAGTAAGAAATTGACGATGGATAAAGAAAAATTGTAATGACCCGGAAAGTCATTTTTAGAAATTTTTACAAAATTACCATTTTACCCATCTCGGTAGTTGCCTTGAGTCACTTTGGATCAGTTTGTGAAGTTGGTTGGGAATTTTGAACTATTTATTTAACTACGATTATTTAGTTAACAGATATTTATTAAATAATTAATTTTTATTAGTTGATGTTTAATGAGTCAAGTCCATATATAATATATTTTAAGTTAAAACCCTATACCACTTGGCCCATACAAATTAACTTAACTGAGGATGGATGTTCTGAGTCAAACTCAAAATCAGCCGTAGCATCTCCGTAAATGAAGCAAATATAAGGTATAATCACAACCTTAATTCTTATTATTTTATGGATACACAAATAGTCGGTTATTGTTAATTTATGGTAACGTGGAGTTGAGGGGAAAAAGGGTCAGATTTTGACAAAATCTGCGAATGGCATATATATATTTTTTCGCTCTTTGTAGTCCTTCAGTAAAGGCATAAGATTTTAATACTCATATTGGATAATTATGACAATAATTGATATATGATTAATTAATCATTAGAAATTGAAAGGATTATATTGGTTGGAAGTTCTGGGGGGAACAAGATCTGGAGGTTGGCATTAATTTCAATTCATTCTTTCCGTAGTGAATAATAAATTGAAATTGGAAAATGCTTAATTTATACTTTGGATGGATAGGTTATTAGTTTGGGTGCAGGTATTAAGAGAATTGGCATGGTTGCCGCCACTGGTTCATAACCAGTTGGCTTCCTTTTTAATTAATATTATTATATTTATGATATTGGAAAAGAATTGGAACTTAACCCTAAGCTTGAAACTTAGGAACTTGATTATAGATTTAGGTGATCTTTTGGGTCTAGGCTAAACCTATAGTAATATGGGTGTTGTTAGTTTCAGAATCTTATTGTGAATATGTACTTGAATAGATTGCATTGATTTGGAAGCTCAACAAAAAAGGAAGGCTCAAATTTCGGAGTGATTGTTCGATTATTTGAGGCAAGTGGATTTCTAAACCCTTGTTAAGTGTATGGAATTCATGTATTTCCTTGTAATATGTGTTTAGGGTAATGAGGCTTGGTGATGGATTGACTTGTCCACATTGATTAATTCTAATGACGAGAAAGGGATAATAAAAGGCAATGTGATCAATTGTTTGTGTGATGTGTTGAGAATTGTTTGAAAGGCTTGTTGAATCATTGTTGATGTTGTATCCTGATTCTGTTGTTGTAAATTGTGCAATGTTATGAAAATGGTCATCTCTTCATTATTTGTGTGAACATGTCATTTGCATTGTTCTGAGACATGGTTGTGACAAGTGTTATGTGCATTGAGAAAGAATAAGAAAATAAAGAGGATGTACCATTTCGAGGGACGTATCGCGCGCCGCGATGGATACTATATTTCGAGGGACGTGTCGCGCGCCGCGACGGATACTATATTTCGAGGGACGTATCGCGCGCCGCGATGGTTACTATTATCGAGGGTCGTATCGCGCGCCGCGATGGATGCATGGACAGATATGTCCCCCATGGGTCCCGGACTGAGAGACAGCGGGTGTGTATCATTAGGTCAGACATGCATCACTATACTTGACATTGCATTTCATTGCATTGCACTTCTTTATTATTGGTGAACTTGATCTTGTGTGTTGCTGATCTTGTGAGTGCCTTTCTATGAAACTTGTGACTGATGAATATTGGGCTTATTGTTGAAGATATGCAATTGTTAGAGTGTTGTTGTTGAGGATATGAAACTATTGTTGTTGTTGAGGATATGAAATTGTTAGAGTGTTGTGTTGAGCTATGTGATTTGTGAACTGTGAACTGTTATGTTGGGCTGGTACTAAGCAGGTTAGTTGTGGAGGTGGTAATTGATAAATATTGAGCTTGTTGTTGAGAATATATGATTGTTAGAATGTTGTTGTTGAATTATGTGCTTGTAAATTGTGAACTGTTAGATTGGGCTGGTTTTATATAGATTGTAGTTGTGAAGGTTCGGTTGGGGTGTAAGGAGTACTTGTATTCTATCCCCTTAGCTTGTGTTTAGAGGTTTACTTGCTGAGTACCGTGTGGTTTGGTACTCACCCCTTGCTTCTACAAATTTTTGTAGGTTACGAGCCTGGATTTTTGTAGTACTTGTCATTCTCTTCTTTTCCAAGGCTTCTGGGAGATTTGTGAGGTAGTTGTTTGTCTTCTCAGCGATCCTTCTTACTCCTGTTTATGATCTTGTTCTACTCTAGAAACAATGTCATATGAGATTTGTATTTTTCTTTTGATTCAATTGTAATACTTTAGAGGCTTGTACACGTGACAACCAGATTTTGGGGGTATATTTGAGTTTGTTACTAAAAAAATTTCGCATTTTATTGTAATGGTTAAGTTTTAGGCTGACTTGTCTTGGTGGGTTAAGACGAGTGCCATCACGTCCATTTTTGGGTCGTGACAAAAATACTTTAATTATGGACATCATCATACCCCCTCTCCCCACCCCCACATTAGGTTTTGGAAAAAAAGGATGAGATAGATGATTATAGACCACTGATCTAAAAGGTTTCAGGTTTGCTTATAACTTAGAGAATGTAAATTAACAACAAAATAATTTTGAAAAAGAAATGTGCAGCTCAACTGAGTGATGACAAAGGGCGTTCAAATTTTCTTAGAACCCGTTACAAAGGTGGCTGAATTAATATAGCGGGTGGTAGGCCATAGTTCGATTTTACTTGCCAACATCTTCTCAGTCACTCCTTGCATCGGATTTGCCTAATACAGTTAATATCTCTTGTGTGATTTGTAAGTTACTGCATAAAAACAAGTTTATATAGTTCTCACCTGAAGAATAGCGAAGGTGGGTGACCAATAGTGTGAAACTCTATTGTACCCAGAATGTCATAATTCAAAATTAATTACAAAGGCTAATATTGCACGTTTGGTGTTTGAGTTAGTAATAAATTTTGATTTTGATACTTGTAATATATAACTCGGTATATTTTTTATTTTCTACTAATCAAAATGTTCCTTTTTATAGGAAATATGTCAAATTAGGACTACATCTAGAGATATTATCATCAAATATTGAAGTAATAATACAAGTTTAACATAACACGTAAACTATTACACGATAAACATTTAATATTTTTGAAAAATTATGAATATTTCCAAGAGACTAAAAATACTAAAAAGCCTATTATAAATAGGTAAAAACAAAGTAACAAGGACTTGGTCGAAAATACATACACTAATATAGAATAAGAAAAAGAAACGTGGCAAAAGAGTGGGGTGGGTGGTGTTAGGTTTTGCTAAGGAGGAGAAACGAGAAGTGAAAAAGAATACATAGCACGTTAATTTTTTTCTACAAATGTATATAAGATTTTTCTTTCATATATAAAGCGAAAAAATTGTGTATTAATATCACTTTCACATACAACAAAAACAAAAATCTTCATAGACTAAAGTGGGTAAATATTTTGTGCATTTTATGACATCGGAATTCTTCTTTAGCTTCAGAGGAACAAGGATGATGTGAATTGTGAAGACTTGAATCTTTTAATTATTGATATGATGTTGGATACCAAGTTTGTCACTTTCTAAATGAGGGGAGACGCAACGGGCACGTGGTACCTTATTCGACCAAGCTAGACACTAAAACATAATGGAAAGAAAATAGCAAGAGCCGACAAGGCCTTCACAATCAAATACTGAAGCAAGATAAGTGGACCGACGAGGTCACAAAAATATCAATGACATAATAGAAGGGCCGGAAAGACAACTTAATTGATAATGAACTAGCAAGCCGACAAGGCCACAACTAAAATCATATATACAATAATCCGACAAGGCAATAAATGGAAGCTAAGAAGGCCCAACATAGAACGTCCACAAGTCTCTATGAATACTACAACTCAAATGGGTGGGACGAGGTCCTGAAAGTACCAATAACTATATACCAAACTCAAGTATATATACAAAAC